CATATGTAAAAATATTAATATTAATATTAATATTATAAACACATGTATGTACATTTATAGTTAATCATCATTTTAATTTTTTTAATTTTTATATTATTATTATTAAAAAAATTAATCTGCTAAATAACATTAAATTCCACATTGTAAATATTATAAATTAAAAAATGAATGTTCTGACATTACAATATTATAAGCAGTCATTACTTTTCCCTTAAAATTTTCATAATCATTTGTGGAATATTCCAATTCATATAAATTGATAGTGCGCAAAAGTTGAAAAACAATTGCAGATGCAATTGCATCTCTATGTCCAAGGCTCTAGTAAACAACAATGATGATAATAATATTAGATAATAATAAAACTAACTTTTTTTGATCATTATAATGTATACATGATGTGATATAATATTAATATTAATATTAATATTTTTACATATGAGGCATTGTAAAACTGACCACATTACAATTGTAATGGAACAACTAAATTTTTATCCCAATGTTCACTTTGTCTGGCTTTGTTGCAGTATGCCCCATATGTAAATCGGAATGATCTTCCTTGTGATTTCCTAAAAGGCTACTGATGATCGACTTAAAAAATTTCCATGATACAGAAAATCATTCCAATTCTTCTATATAAAATTTTAAATTTCGGACTGAACCATAGTAATAGTGAAATCAAATTGCCGCGTTTTGAAATTAATTATCGCTTTTTTGGTCATTACAACTGATGATCTTCTTCTCCCTATTTGTGAATTGATAAAATTGATAAATAAGTTTATCAAATTTTATTATTTATTTGTCCATATGAAGGATTATAGTATTTTGCACCTTCTCGACCATTTGCCAAGTTTATAAAGATAACGTCGAAGAAATTCTTTAGTTTTATAATGCTGTTTTTGAGAACCTATATCAATATGAGAGTTGATTACACGGGTTTGAATGAACGAATGTGATGAATCGTCTGACATATAACTGATAATAATAACATTTCGTCAGTTGACTAAATTCGACCATTTCGCAAAAAATATTCAAGGTTAGTTGAATATCCATAGGAAAACTAAAGATTCTTTCCCGGTTAACGTGGTAATTACTGTACATGCTTTGTGCATGTAAATACACGTATCCAAGCAACCATAACACAATATTACGGGTTGCATAGTTGTTAATTTGAGTACAAATCTGACCATTTCAAGTATGTGGCTTAGAGAACGTTTAGTATTTCTTTTCGCATGGTTAAGATCGTATCCTTTTTATACTTCTGATAATTCAAAAGTATAAAACGGGAATTCGTGTAACACGTCAAATTCATCTGCAATTTTTTTCCTTTTTTCTCATTCCTCCTACAAATTTTTTTTCTTTACCATTATTATTAAAGAAAAAAAGTGATTAATTGTAAGTTTGACCGAAATCCCGAACCATATATATATATATATAAACGCACATTAAACTCTTCTTGATAAAAATGTCTTCAAAGGTAATATGATAAATATTCTCAAGTTAAAAAAAAATAAACTTTACTAAGTTTTCGAGCAAAAATTTTTTTTTTCAGTCAAGACCAAAACAACAAAACTCCAAAATTCTTTCTGCTTCTGATGGTAAAGAGCAAATTTGCCTGTCATTGTTCGTCTTGTGTTATGATTTTTATATTATTAAATTTTCCAATTGCTTTTTTTTCCTATTTTTGGGAAAGAAGAAATCAAATACAGGAGAAAATATAAAGAACTTAAAAAGAAAATACATGAAATGGAAGAGGTACAAAATTTCCTTTTTTTTTTTAACATATGGTTTTTCTTCTTCTAAATGATTTTATACATATTATTATTATTTTTATTTTAGGAAAATGATAAAATAAATCTTAAGTTGATAGGAGCAAAAAAAAGCATACAACGATTGAAGATAGAAAGAAGGTAAAAAGCATATATAGACACAAAAGATAAAGATAATTATGAATTCAATATCATCATCATCGTCATCATCATCAATTAACTATTTATTCAATTGACCAGTTATTTTTTCTTTTAGTTTTCTAGTGGATCGTTTAGAGCAATCACAACAACAAATCAATAACGAATCTGAGTCAGAGACCTCATCATCTCCACAAAGAGCAATGGAATCAGATGATGAATTATCTTCGGTGGGTAGTGATGATAATAAAAATAATAAAAAGATAGAAGATTTAAAACTTTTAATACTTTTTCAAGTTGTATGCTTATAATATACATGAGGAAAAGTTTATTAATTTAACAAATAAAGAAAAATTATAAGAATTCCATACCTGTTGGAGCACCAATATTAACAGCCCACCATGTTGAAACAAGAATGGCATGAGCACAATCTCATATGAATGATGATTGGAGTTATACAATTTTTGCTGATGAAACAGCCTTTGACTTGTTTTGTAATAAAATTTGCAAATGGCATAAAGATGGACAAAGACCAATTTGGAGATTGTCAACCCTACAAAAAGTTTAGGTGCTTAAAATGTATTTAAAACATGCTTAAAATCTACTTGAAGGTATTTAAAATGTGCTTAAAACATACCTTTTTTAATAATGAACAAATTAAGTATATTTTAAGTAACCTTTAAGTATATTTTAAGTGTATTTCAAGTATGCTAGTTTACCATCAAAAGTATGTTTTAAGTATATTTTAAGTATATAGCATATTTTAAGTGTGTTTTGAGTATAATTTCATATACTTAAAACATACTTAAAATTCACTTAAAATGTTCTTGTTCTCTTCCATCGGTATATTTTAAGTACATTTTAAGTACAAACCTTTGTGTAGGGTTGGTGGGGGTTATAGAGTGTTTATCAACTCTAAAAAATAGTGTTGGAAAAGAAGAGAAATTCTTTGCAGCTTCAGTGTTGTGACCCGAAACTCTGAGTTTAGGGAAAACCCAAAACAGAAACTAACAGAAACCACCCGAAACTAGTTTAGGTTAGTAGTTTATGTTTAGGTTTATGTTTACTTTTAGTTTTCTGCTTAGTGTAAGTTCATTTTCCAAACCGTTTTGGGAAGTCAAAAGAGTTTCTGGTCACAACACTGATAGTATTTTTTTTTTTTGACCAAATAAGGTTAAGATATACATTCAAAAATTTGGACTGATCGGCATTTTTTGATGAGTATAGGTGATACGCACCATATCATATTTTGTGTTGTGTCATAAATTGATGTGACATAAAAATTATTGATCTGAAATCTGATCTGATCTGATCTGAGAATTATCTGTTCTGGTTTGATCTGATCTGATCTGATCTGAAATCTGATCTGGTTTGATCTGATCTGATCTGGTTCAAAACAGACTGCAATTTAATAGGATCAGATATGATCTGATCTGATCTGGTTTTGATCTGATCTGTTCGGAGCCTTAGCTGTGAGGTAGCCCTTGGTCAACCTTTATATTGTTTTACATTATTCCTTATTCATTTTGATCAACTAATAATATTTTGTTAATAATTAAATTAGGTTTAGTTGATGATCCAAATATGTTCTCACAATGCAAATATATAATATATTATGATATTAAAAGAAGCTGACAAAACTAGCAGAAGGTCAATTTGATAAAAACGAGGTCCAAAACTCCAAACTTTTGTGGGTAGATGGCTACTTATGTTACATATTTAAAAAGAAAGTGTGAAATTCAAATTAGCCAATCAGAATTTCATATCCAAACATCCACCCCAAAATTTTAAGAGAATTGCTATTTCTCACCGGTGGTGATTCTCACCACCTAAGGAATTAAAATTTGCGTGGGGCGGAGTTAGGGTTGGGGTTAATCATAAATTGTATAATTCCTTAGGTGGTTACAATCACCACCGGTGAGAAATAGCAATTCCCAAATTTTAATGATTCCGCATAATTTCAATTTCACACACAACATCCACAAATAGTTGAGTCAATTATTTTCTTCAATTAGTTAATGTGTCCCGAATTTTTACCCCTGCTTCATGAATTAATTGTAATTGGCAATTTTCAATTTTTTTTTTATTGAAAAAATAAAATGAATTCAATATTTGAAAAATATTTCAATGAAAATGAAAGATTATTAAACACTGAAGACTTTTATGATGTAAAAATATATGTTGGTATAGAACCAAACATTAAAGAAGTTCATGCAAATGCATCTATCATTGTCCATTTTTTAGCAAAGCATTGAGTAGTGCAACAAAAGAAAATAGATATTATATTATTAAGAAAGTTAATATTAGTGAAAAATGTTTCAACCCAATTCTCAAGTAAGTTTAAATAAATATATTATTATTTATTTAATATATAATAATTAATTTAATAATTTATAGATTTTTATATACAGAGGGTGATCACGGGTTTCCGAACGATAAGTATTTTTTATTTTTTTTTGCTTTGTTTACATCATTTACGCGTA